CATGGACCTCTCTTCTGTTATAGTCAACGCTAGTCAACAACGAAAATTGATGACGTCATCTACTATTTTTACTAAAATTCCTAAAATACCCTTGTCTATATAATTTCATTTTATATTTAAAATATATATATATATATATATATATATATATATATATATATATATATATATAAGGAAAAATTGAACAAGCAAGCTTCTGATCGGCCGTCAAATACCAGAAATTTGAAATTTCGACAATGAAGACACGGTGGTTGTGATGAGGACGGTGGCCAGAGAGAAGTTTGGGTCCCTTTAATTCTAAGCGATTCCGGCAAAAGGAACGGGGGCTGTGAACAATTGGGTTTGTGGGTTTGACATTTGCGATTGGGTTTGTTGTATACTAATGTACTATGTGTGTGTGTGTATGTGTGTGATTTGTTGTTACAGAAATTTTGAAACAGATGGATGAATTAGAGAGGCAATCGATGAAGCTGCGAAGGCAAAGACTCATCGAGATCGGAGATTAGAACTGCCTAGTGGCCAGAATGGAAAAGTGATTAGTTTTAAGAATTTTTCTAATGGGAATTGCCCAATTCTTTAAGGAGAACGAACAAATTGGGTCTTTATTGAGAATTGCTTTGTCAAGAAACCAACAGGCCTGTGGCCTAGCGGTATAAGGCTCCTACTTCTCAAAGAAAGGTTAGGGGTTCGAACCTCAGTGCAGGCAGTGTGTATGAGTTTCCCAACTAGGAAAAAAAAATAGTTGATCTGTCATCCAAAACAAATAAATTATTTGAAGTTGTAGAAAATGGATTAAGAGAGACTGTTACATTTAGTAATCGTCATGGGATGGAAAGTTTCCAATGTCTAATGATAAAACAGGGCTTAAGATGAAATATATATTTTGGCGAGTGTTTCTTGGTGCTAAAGCAGGTTACAAGCCATTTTTTTTTTTTTTTTTTGCTAGAAGTGGATGTTAAAGGGGATGAGATTTTGTTTATGCACAAGGTGAAATCTCTGCTCTTAGCTTCCATTTTCTTCTACTTATCTTCGTGGGTTAACAACTTCATATGTTGTTCCCTCTCCAAAATGTAGCCTTTTACATTAATTTTCCTCTACATCCACTCAGTTCTTTCAACCTCAATTTCGATACCCAAATCATAATTTTGCATTTCTTCAATTACCCACATTGTAGTTTTTCTTCAATTTCTGAAATTTGGAAGTGTTTTGATTATGTCTTGCTAAGTAATTGTTTTGTTTGATGCCCAGATTGTAATTTTGCATTTCTTGAATTACCCAAGTTGTACTTTTTCAGTTTTTGTACTACAAAGTGTTATGATCTTAAATGGGCAAGTCTTGGCAATGCTTTTTTTGGATACCCAGATTGCAAGTTTTGATTTTTTTTTTTTTTTTGGTTATTGATTGTGATTTTTTTGTATAATTGAGATCAAATAAGGATTGAGAAGATAGATGTTGATGAAAAGCTTAAGTATTGAGGTTCCTAAAGGAACCAGAGAGAAACAAACTTACTTGGTGGCCATGTTTTTATAAAGATATAATTAAGGAAGAGAAAAAATAGATTGATCCAGTTTCAATGCAAACACAAATTAATACAAGAGAGTGACTAATAGAGGCTTAATGAAAGATGGGTTTGACTTTCTTTCATATAAATGAGCAGAAAAATAAAAATCTAATTAAAATTTTTTTTTTCTGGGGTTTTTGAAATTGGGTTCCAAAGGAACCAGATAGAAACACAATTTCTTAGCGGTCAACCATGGTTTTTATAAAGGTATGTTCAAGGAAGAGAGACGAAGATTGATTGAGCCAATTTCAACACACAAACCTTAATGAATTGAATTGACTAAGAGCTCAACTCTGTGCATGGGAGAGAGAGAGAGAGAGAGAGAGAGAAATAAAAAGGGATGAATGGAAGTATGTGAGATTGAACGCAGAGGAACAGGACACAAATATGGTGAAGTTGCAACTCTGCTTCTGCTATTGCGGCTGTGGCATTGGCTCCTTCGCCAGCATTTTCTCGGCATCGTCAACTCTCAGATCGTCTCTCTCTCTCTCTCTCTCTCTATATATATATATATATATATATATATATATATATGGGGTATTTTAGTCATTTACCATAGAAATTTAAGGGCATTTCAGTAATTTTGACAGCTCTGTTAGTGTATTTAATGATCCGTCACACATAAGGGAGGTCCGTGTAGGATATTTTCAAAAGTAGGAGAGGTCCACGTAATTTTCAAAACAGAAAGGGTGCTCTCTGTAATTAAGGCAAACCATAGGGGGGTCTGTGTAAATTATCCTTTTGTTTAATGTGTTCTATTTTTTGTGTGAAATTTACACGGGGAGGTGTTTAGGGGTTGTGTTTTGTTTTGGACCTTTATTTGGTCTTTTCTTGGGTTGGTTTCTGTGGTGAGTAAATTTTGATGTACTGTTTTAGGGAATTTTCATCTCTCAGTTTCACTTAAATTTTCATCCCTCCTACAGCTTACACTTATACGCTATTCTGTGTTATAATGCACTTAGTTACTGTTAATCCTCGAAAATTCTCACATTCTTGGAGCTCTTCCTACTTACCTTGAAGTGTACCCCCAAAGTCATTCCGGGTCAGGCTGACGACATCTTAACATTATTCATAATTGAGAAACAAAAAGCTGCTACTTCCACAAATAAAAGATTGTATACCAAGAGTTATGGTCGTTGAAGGACCATAAAATCACCTTCTCTGGTCTAATCAGGGGAATCCAAGAGGAGCACAAGGCTCGGAAGAAACTCAGGGCCTGTTTGGTGTTTGTTCTACCATGTTCTGTGTTGTTCCAAAAGTGCTACAGTAGCACTATTTCAACCCAAAACATGTTTGACCTGCAGTGTTTTGTTCTCAACAGTAATGGAACACTTTCAAAACAAATCCACTATTTGGCCCAAAAGCTAGAACAAGATTTTGGTATTCTATGTTATTCTAGCCCAATATTTATTGTAGCTAAACAGGCCCAAATCTCATTCATCCATCCCAAATCATTTCAGCCTCCCAAACGCCTCCATCTCTATTCTTGCTCTCTTTCTCTCTCGCTCTGCAACTGCAAACTTGTATGGGTTTTGTTTTAATTTTTTTTAAGGCAAACCATTTCAGCCTCCCAAAGGCCTCCATCTCTATTCTCAATCTATCTCTTTGCAATTGCAAACTGTTATGGGTTTTGTTTTAATTTTTTTTAGGGCAAATCATTTCAGCCTCCCAAAGGCCTCCATCTCTATTCTCAATCTATCTCTCTGCAATTGCAAACTGTTATGGGTTTTGTTTTAATTTTTTTTAGGGCAAATCATTTCAGCCTCCCAAACGCCTCAATCTCTATTCTCGCTCTCTCTCTGCAATTGCAAACTTGTATGGGTTTTGTTTTAATTTTTTTTTTAGGGCAAATCATTTCAGCCTCCCAGACGGCTCCATCTCTATTCTCGCTCTCTCTCTCTCTCTCTCTCTACAACTGCAAACTTGTATGGGTTTTGTTTTAATTTTTTTTAGGGCAAATCATTTCAACCTCCCAAACACCTCCATCTCTATTCTCGTTCTCAACTTTGCAAATCCATTTTTAGGGCAAATCATTTCAGCCTCGCATTTGCCCTAGTCTCTCTCTCTCTCTGTGCAACTGCAATTCTGTGTATGAGTTTTGTTTTAATTTTTTTTCTAAATCAACTAATCAAGCTCCGTAATTCTTGTTTTGCAAACTAATCAAGTTCTGTAATTAATTTATTTTAATTATAAAAAAATAATAATAATAATTTTTATTCCAAAAAAACACTTGTTCTATTTTAAACTAGAGCATTACACTACACTGCACAACACAACACTTCTCAAACGGGCCCTCAGTTACCTTCTCAGACAAAATCACCTTTCAGATCATTTGGTGCCAGTAGTGATTCAATAAATTTCAAGTACAAGATTGCACAATGGAACCTGCGGTGCCATTCATATGGTGGACCATAGTTGGATTGACAAGTAAATTTTAAGCTATCACTTGTACCTCTCTACAAACACTTGATATGTGCTAAAGAAATTGGACCACACCAGAGTAACATGTGCTATTAAGACCTCAAAGGGCCCAAGTAAAGCCCACTCCTATAGACATAATAAAGACTAATCTATTCAATTTTCATTGGGTTGGGACAGGCTCAAGCCTGCCTACTATAAATGCATGCTACTTCTCCAAGTTTACAGGTCTACCCCTGGCTTCCAAGTCAACAAAACCACAGATGTTTCATACATATGAATCTAAGAAGGGAAATGAGGCGAAATAAATCAAGCAACTAGAATCCATTCTCATGAGTTTTTCGATGGTAAGACCTCCTTTGAAACTGGAAAAATGCCACCCTCTGGCAATCTGACCCGCAGCCCGATGATGATGGAGGTGAGGTAACTGTATCGAGAGCGCGCGAACTACAATCCTCTTATTGTAAGAGAGATTGGGAGTTTCAATTCTGACGTGATTGATACGCAGACGAGTTTCAATTCTTACGTGATTGATACGCAGACGAGCCTTTGGACCTCCACTAGTGACTACCAAATACCAAAAACTAAAACTGGTTTAGTTGGAGCGTTGGCAGTGTGGTCAGGGGAAGCCTCAATAGATCGACCATCGTCAAAATCATGTTCAGCACCACATAATAGCCGAAGTCCTCGAGGTAAACGTCCTCTACCGATGAGAGCTTGGCGTCGTCTAAAACAAAAATCGTCATATTGTTGTATTACACAAGGTCTTCCAATCGGAATCGTGTGCTTGCAATTTGGCCATCTGATCACACTTGAGAACTCATTTAAAGGATAAAGTAAAAAAAAAAATCTTTTAACTTTAAGATAATTTGTAGTATGAAATTAAAGTAACTTGTTATAATGTTACAAATATTGAACTATCTATTCAATGAAAAGCAACAATTAATGAAGTGTTTATCCAATACATGAGGAAAAAAATAAAAGTTTAGTATTAAGATATGACAATAACACAAAAAGTAAATACCTTCATAAATTTTGCCCATACCGCCCAATCCAATGAACTCCATTTTTGTCATTGAAATTTTTGTCTTACCTAAATTATAAAGATCCACGGAAATAAAATATTTAAAAACTTGATATTAATACTTAGAATTAACTATTTACTAATAATAGCTTATGATGGCATAAAATCAGAATATTTTATAGCATGTTCCATCATCAGTTGTGATATATATTGTAGCATAACCAAGGCCAACTAAATACTTCATAGGCAGCTAATTGCAAAAAATCCATATACTTTTAAGCTTTTGCAACACACCCTCTAAAACTATCAAAAAAAATTGCAATCAATCCGTTATCGTCATCTCTCTATTAACAGAGAGATCAAAGTGACCTAAACTTTGCTTAAATAAGAAATGAAAGAGAATAAAAAATAAACACAATCAACCTCTCTATTAACAGCAATAAGAAATGAAACAGACAATAAAAAATAAACACAACTTACAATAAAAAATAAACACAACTTACTTTTTCCGACACTACTCAATGTCATTGGAGACCATTAGCTTAAAAATTTAAGCATGTCATTTCACTTTTGAAAATTTTCAAAATTTAATTAAATATTTACAAGCATTTTCAATGATTAAAGATTTCAAATTGTGAAATATTTTCTATAAACTATTAACGACATTATCTATAAAAATATAAGGATAAATAGAATATATGTATTTTCATAAATGGATCACTTGAGAGTTGTATTTGGATTATTTTCCTTAGAAATTGTCTTACAAATTTATTGAGATGCTTCCTATAAATTATGAACGAAATTATCTATAAAAAGATGAAGATAAGTCAAACATATATATTTACATAAATTGATCATGAGAGTTGTATTTGGATTGTTTTCCTTTGAACCTTACAAATTGTCTTACAAAAGTATTAATTTCTTAGTTGGTTTACTCTAAAGAAATTAACAATATAACAAAAGTATTAATTTCTCTTTTCGAAGAGTTGGAATCACCATCTTCATTTGACTTACGAGACTTCACCCCATTAATTTTCTCCATTGCCTAGCATGTTGGAAAATGATTCAAGATTTCGATAGAATCACCAGCATCATGAATAGCATCTATATTGGGCATTTCACATCCCATGTTGGTGGTATGTTCAACATGAGCATCAGTACTACTTGGGTATTCTATCTCTGATGTACTCGTATCAAATATATGAACATAAAAATGGAAATTTCCATCGTAAGTAAATACCAACATGTGTCCATAATCTATGGAATAGTAGTCTTTGAATTCTTTCCAACCATTTTGTAGCCAAACATCCCCATCAGAATGTACCAATTCTACTGTCAATACAGCACCAGTTGGAACCTTGAGGAATACAGGGTTTGACATATTGTTTCCAAGACTTATCATAAACTTTCTGGAATCCTCTACAATAAATTAACCTCCAGTTAAATTTGAACAGAATTGACAGATAAGAAGCATTGAGAAAGAAAGAAAGAAAGAACAAGTACTTCAAATCATTGGGACATCAAATTAAGTACTTTCATCAAACGATGCTTAAGTGACACAAACATAATTAATTGCAAACTACATGGCTCATTCCTTAGCTTATCATTATTCGTTTTAATCACCATACAAATTAATGAAGAAACTGATCTAAATAAACCTCCTATTGTTTTGCAAGACTGGTCCAGATTTTCAATTAGGGCAAATGCCACTCTTGACTCTCTAGTAAACATTTTCAGAAACTACCAATTTAGTTTGTTTCCACCTTTATTTAGTCCATAATAAAAAGAGACCATTGCATAATCAGATTTGATTTTTGCCTAAAAATGAGGGTTCGGCGGATCACAAGAGAGGCACAGAATGAAAATTAGGGCCATGTTTCTTATTTATATGGACTTTTTGGGCCACAAGTATGTGGGCCTTTCTTATTTCAAAAGCCCAAGTGAAGCAAGTGGTCCAAGTCTTAACGTTTGGCTTCGCATTAATTGCTTTCTTTATTTTAACTAATTTAAATCTCCTTTTCTTAGCCATCGTGGCCGAATCCTGGCCGTTGCATAACATATAGAACCCGAGGGAGACTAGAAACGTCAATGATCCGGTTCCTTAACTCTCTCCCTCTTTTTGGTGCAGAATTTCAATTTTTTTCTTTTAAATTTTTAGATAAATAAATTAAAGTCCTCTCACTAAGGCCTGCCCTAAAAACTCTGTTCAAATAGCAGTGGAATACCAATTTCTTCTTGGTTGGGTTGGTCGGTCCATTACTTTTGTTTCTTGTTCTCTTCATTATGTTAGTTGGTCTGTTTGGTGAAAAAATAAATAAATAAATATTATGAATCTCTCTCTTGCCTCAAGCCTGCTATAAAACTTGTTCAGTGTAGCACTACTTTTTGTTCTTAGTTGGGTTGGCCGGTCATTAAAACTGTTCAGTATTAAGATGTGACAAATAACACAAAAAGTAAAATGCATTAGAAGACACATTACCTTCGTAAATTTTGCCCATACCACCCAATCCCATGAACTCCATTTTTGTCATACCTAAATTATAAAGATCCACGGAAATAAAATATTTAAAAACTTGATATTAATACTTATAATTAATTATTTACTAATAATAGCTTATGATGGCATAAAATGGGAATATGGATATGTAATAACAAGAAGCGCAGTGAATAGCATTAACAAAATCCAGTTCCAAAAACAGAGTGTGTGTGTGTATATATATAACAGATCTAATTAGGAAAGCATGACACAAGTACAGAATATTTAATTACACTATATAAGAAAGCATGACACAAGCAACACCGTGAGAATTCAAGAATCAAACTAAATAAAGTTTTGGTACGAGACTATACAAGAAAAAAAAACACAGGACTCGTCATTGTCAAAGTATTGCTATTAAGAATAATAATTAAAAGAGGAAGATAAGTTATAATCTAAACCATTAACCTTCATTGGGAATTTTAGACAGGAGTCAGTATTTCACACATATGGCAGAAGGTAGAGTAAATAGCAAAAATCAAATTTTAATGTATCATCATTCTTACATCAATAACGAAATTAAATTTGCTTTTCTAAACCTTGTGGAATCAATTTGATGCTTATCTTATTTTATAGCATGTTCCATCCATCATAAGTTGTGATATATATTGTAGCATAACCAAGGCCAACTAAATACTTCATAGGCAGCTAATTGCAAAAAATCCATATGCTTTTAAGCTTTTGCAACACAGCCTCTAAAACTATCAAAAAAATTTTATCAAAGTGACCTAAACTTTGCTTAAATAAGAAATGAAAGAGAAAATAAAAAATAAACACAATGAATCTCTCTATTAACAGAAATAAGTAATCAAACAGACAATAAAAAATAAACACAAACTTACTTTTCCCGACACTACTCATGCCATTTGAGACCATTAGCTTAAAAAATTTAAGCATGCCATTTCACTTTTGAAAATTTTCAAAACTTAATTAAATATTTAGATTAAAGATTTCAATGTAAAATATGATTCCATGTTGTCTGAAAAAAAAAATGTAGTAATCGTGCTTTTTGATGCGGCCAAGATCCTCTCAGACCGCATCAATAGCACTCGCAGCTCCACCATTTGTCTCATTTGAGAGAAATCAAAAAAGGAGATAAAAAGAAAGCTAACCTTCAAGTCGTTGCAGCATGATGTGAGTGAGAGCATGATTCACAATGCGACCGCCGACGAGTAGGCTTTGCTGTTTGCCGTCGAAAAGAAAGGAAGAGCTAAGTAAGTATTTTCTGTGAAGTAAATGTTGAACCCATATCTAAACCAATAAATTCCAATGTTTATATTGTAAACTAAACCAACAAATTTCTTTTCAATTACCAAAAAAAAAAAAAGAGATCTATAAACATTGGAATTTATATGCCAGGCCAGTGCAAGAGCGAGCTTAGCTGATCGTTTATATATATATATATATATATATATACCCAGAATCGCAAAGAGAGAGAGATAACTATAATCCTCGGTCGCTTGTGGCGTGGTTTTGGTTTGAGGCATAATTTATAGGAGTACTAGATTATTAGGGTTTACAAGGGATGGCAGGAAATGGGCTTGGGGAATGGATTGGGTTAGTTTTATTTTTTAATAGAGATACATGATATCAAACTGGGCTAGGCTGGATTGTTGGGCTAGTTTTACTTTCAAAAGAGAAAATAATGTAACAAATGGGTTGGTTTTGATTGTCGTTGGGCTTTGGGGTTTAAACTAAATTCAAATACATTTACCATATAAATATATTCTGGTTTCAAAAATGGGTGTAACAAACATATTCAGGCAAGGGCTTGCAGAATTTTCTCAATTCTCAGGGAGGGACAAATGAATGTGCTTTTTTTTTTTTTTTTTTTTTTTTGAGAGAGAGAGAATTTTATAAGCGAAGGATGGTGTATTTAAAGAGAGGACTGGTGTTATGAGCTTAGCAGACAAGAGGTTACATGTGAGTTTTGACTGGTAGGTATGAATACATTGTGAGTCTTTGAAATGGTGAAAAGACTGAAAAAAAATATCAGCTGTCCGATTCAAAGATTGACGACGTTGATCACAACAACCGATTCTTGTAGTATTGATTGTTTGCTTTATATAAAGCCTGCAAAGACTGTACTGTTACAAGTCAGAATTAATGGTGCTTTTTTGTTGCGACTTCAGAGTTCCAAGTGCTTGGTACAATTGAAAATAAAAGAATGTAAAATATTAGTTACGCGAAAAAAAAAAAAAAAAAAAAAATTGTTAATTACAGTGTAGTTGATTAATAAACAAAAATAAAATAAAATGATAGTAGTAATTATATTTGGGGAAATACTAGACTATTTTTCATTTTGTTTAAAAAAATAATAATAAGAGTAAATTTAGTATTAATGAAGTTTCATAAAAATAAAAAAATTAAAAAAAAAATTGCATTTCCTTGCATTTTCTTTCATTTCTTTTCATTTTTTAGAAGATAACAAAATCATTTGTATCTGTTTGAATTCCTCATTCCTTTTCTTTTCCTTTAAGTTTCATTTGGATTGAGTGATTTTAAGGGATTTGGAATGAAAAGAAAGATAGTGAAAATCTTATTTGGATAACTTTTAGTGAAAAAAAAAAAAAAAAAGAAAAAAAAAGAAGAAAGATTTGGAGGAATAGCTTTCCTCCAACTCTCTCATGTGCTATCCAGCCTATCCTCCCAAAAATGCGAAATAATAGTGAGGAGTAATATTTTCAGAATCTCAAAACTACCTTACAACATTCGACTCTCATCTTATAACATTCTATAAAAAAAATTATGATAATAGTTTAGTTCTTATCCTTTTTTGTTTTTTTCTTTTCTGTCATCTATCTTTTTCAAGGAAGAATATTATCATTTTTTTTTTTTATCCTCTCATAATTTATCCAAACATGACTAAAGGTTATTGTTATAATTTCTTTTCTTTTCTCTCATGTTTATCCAAATGAAGTCTTAGTAATTTATACCAAACAAAATGTTTCATTTACTCTACAACCAAACCAAACTAAGCATCAACGTTAATGGATCTTTTGATTATTAGGTACTTAGAGTTCCGTCAAACATATTATATGGTTAATGTTACAAGGGAAAGGTTTGTCCCACATTGAATTTGGATGAGAAAATGTATGGATATAAATAGATGTGTATGTAGTATTATCCATCTTGAAGGATTAAACATTTTAATAATTTGCCCTCATAATTTGACTTTATTTATTATAATAATTATTATTTTTTAATACCCCTCGTAACTTGATTTACCAACTCTTTTTCAACCTGAAAGGAGCAACACAATTGCTAAAGGATTTTCTCACTTAAATTGTAGAAGTGAAAAATGTATCTGTCTGTCTTTAATCCAAACTTACGGGGTGTCAGTGTAAGTTAGCCTTCTTTTTGTTTTTAGGTCATTGTCCTCAAATGAGAGGTGAGGATTGAAAGTTTGAAACTCTATAGTAGGCATTTGTATGTGCCTGTATTTCTTTTTTACAAAATGCGTTTTTTTTTTTTTTTTTAAACGTGGAGAGTACATGTATTAACTTGAAGGATTAAACATACTAATAACTTGCACTCATAATTTGACATACTAACCCTTTTTCAAGCGGAAAGAGTGCTAAAAGGATGAAAATGCATGATGGGAATAAAATTTGGAATATTATGAGCACAAACTGTTTCAATATGCTATTTCAGGGAATAAAAGAAGTAAATGAAGTAAGCGGAATCAATAAATTTGTTCATAAGAAACGGGTTACTTTGAATCACAAAGTAAGAGATAAATTAAGAAAAAAAATCTGATATTGCATTGATAATGAAATGTGTTTCTGCTCTCTGAATTACATGTATTTAAAATGGAAAAAACCCTAATTTATAAAGAAATTAACTCTAACACAAAACCTATAACATAAGAAAACCCAAACTCGAAAAGATATTAATATTCAAAAATAAGTCTAAAAATAAAATTTGTTAGAGAAAAATACCTAATCAAATAAAATTACTAAATAAAAAATTTGAACGCAATCTGAGTTCATTTAGACAACGAACAAAAATTTCGAAATATTTAGCATGCCTCTTAATTCCCTTTTGATGCCCTAAATTCTATTATTTGGCTGAAAAACAAAATACATCATAATTATGTTGCGAGACTTGTTCTTTTGCCTATTTTTAATAAAATAACGGACACTTCGAGATTGGGCCAAAAATCTATCACATGCCCGTTCGGCCTGACGATCCAAACTAGTCATACATGCTTTAGCAATAAGTTATGCATCAGAAAATAAATTCAAACAATTATTAGTTATGGTATCCTTCAATTTGAGTATTATACATGTTAGATTATTATACTACTGTAATTAGGGTTTATGATGTAGAACAGCCTCACCTATCCTTAATTGCCATGTATAGAGTTGTTAAGACAACACTCACCTACCCTTGTCCTAGCCTATATAAATCAGCGGGGACTATTGCATATTTTACACAATTCATTCCATGCTATATAATAAAATATTATTTTTCATGTTGTTTAACAATACAAATTCTGTGTTTCTACAAATTTGCACTTGAAGCTCTAGTCCAAGTCCATGTAAGGTAGAATATGTAGTGTGAATCTTGTGATCTTGTAAGGTAGAATATGTAGTGTGAATCTTGTGATCTTGCTTTATATTGTGCTGATTGGCATTTCCTCAAGGGAAATGACCAACATGAATGTGGGTGTTGGGTTGGCCCAAAGAGATTTGAAAATGTTATTTGATAGTCAATAACTACTCATGAGTAATTGGACTTTGTGGTGTGAACTAATGAGAAACTTCTTACAAACACTTTTGCAAAAATCGGCATACATTATCCATATATGGGCCTCTTGATCAAGTTGCAAAGTTCAAGTTGGATAAGAAATCACCTATGTCAAGTTACCAACCATCTAAAGTTGCGATAAGGCACAGAAACACACACCCAAGTCAAAATCCTCTCCAGCAACTATTTTTTGCTGTTCCCTGTTGGTGGTCAAAATCCTCTTCAGCAACTATTTTTTGCTGTTCCCTGTTGGTGGTAAAAGAAATTTATCATTTCCTAATTTAAAATATTTTTTTCGAAAAATATTTTTATTTTTATATTTAGTATTTGACAAAGGTCTAAGTCTATATTGAAATTGAGTCCATGGGGTGTATTAAATAGCTTGTTGAAAATTGACTAACAAGTTTTTTTTGTTAGGTTTAAAAATTTTTTTCTTCATAAATATTTAATGATAACCAAACACCAAAAAACACAAGATATTTTATGCTCAAACAAATGAATTAATAATCGTGAAATTCACCAACAACGAAAAATCATTACCAAAGAGGATTCGGATCCATAAATTATATTGGGCTTATGTGTTGGAACGAAGCAGATAGAAGCATTTAATAATTTCGAGGGCAAATATATATATTTTTTGTTTTTCTATAGATTCAGGTTTTGTTTGTTTCGTAAAATACCTTTCTCGAAAAACATTTTTCCTTTAAGATATATATATATATATATATATATATATATATATATATATATATATATCGTATAAAATAATTTAACAAAAATTAATGAATTAATCAATTTTGTTAAGTTTTAATATTTGTTAATTTTAAAAAATATTTTACGTCCAAACAAACACTAATCTGAGTCTTCTATTGGTGAAGCCAAATAACCTCTGGTATCATATTGCACACTTTGTCATATTTTGCATTACTGATCAACGAATGTGACACTGAGGATTAAAATCTCATTATTGATCAACAAATGATGGAGAGGCATCCCTCTAGCCCTATGATACATATGTCTAGAAGGAAGGGAACTCAACATTTGAAGTACACTTCCCATTAGGTAGCACTGGGCACTCTATAATGTTTGATCCAGAAGTGTCCACACATATATATATCTGGTAAAGTTGGGTTTTACCAGATGCATCAACATTGCATTCTATTCCAGGTGTGTGCCCAATTCCTCCTTTTAGAGCATTTTTTATGCTGTTTAAGCTATAAAATCTCCCATCTGGATGAATCCCTGTAAATTTTTGAAAAAATAAAATAAAATACATAGTAGATTTTAGCGATCAAATCTAAACAAAAATTCTCTTAAGTGACCATAAAGCGATGCTAAAAATAGTGATTACCTGCATCTTGAAGAATTTGGAGTAGGTCGATTTTATTCTTTAGGTCCAGGGTTGATTTGAAGTATCCATGTTGGTTAAGGATAGACTCCGAACAAGTTCCATGTTTTTCCCATTCGTGTGACCAAAATGACGAGCCAGTGCCACTCGGGCAAGCTAATGTTGGCCAACTCTGTTGCATTCTGCTAATCAAGTCTGAAATCTATACCAAGACAAAATATTCAAACTTGAATCAGTGTCGAAATTATATTTACTAATTAATGCGGCCACCCAAGACATAAAGTTGCGGGACTGTCAAAGAAAAGGTTGAGAGTTTGAGTCTTCAATTCTTCATGGTAACAAATTAGGTGTGCAAGTTTGTCTTACCTATGAAAAAATAATTTAATAATCGATCTCAAAAATCAAAGTGCTCTGTCATCAAAGCTGATTTGAAAGGGACAGGAAAATTTATATGCATATGTTTCTGGCAATGTCGGTTTGGGATAAATAAAAGTTTTGTTAAAATGTGACTATCAAAAATATGACAGTGTAGGCAGACCACAACACAGTAACACAGTCCATCATTGTATATAAAATAAATAGTTTTAAATTCCATGAAATTTCTTAAAGATATTAGAAATGCAGACCCCAACACAGTAACACAGTCCATCACTGTATATAAAATAAATAGTTTTAAATTCCATGAAATTTCTTAACGATATTAGAAATGCAGACCCCAACACAGTCCATCATTGTATATAACTAAATTCAGCTTGATCAAGATGATCTTCAATCGTGAGTTCATATTCTCCTTTCTGTTGAATACATATAAAGCTAAGGCTGTCTATACCTTGGATTGATCATAAGGACTGTTTGGATCGCAGTTTGACGGGTAAGAACCGTCCTTATAATTGGGCCAAAGTCCATGAATACCGAAATCTGCTGCAGGCTTTCCTGTCTTTGGATAGCAACAACTTTGCTTTGTGTCACAGTATGATCCTGGCCACTGTATCACAATCATCAATGAAGAAAATAAGTTCCATGTTTAGAATAACCCAGATGAATTTAGAGGACAATTATATATATATATATAAAGTTCCATGTTTAGAATAACCCAGATGAATTTAGAGGACAATTATATATATATATATATATATATATATATATATATATATATATATATATATATGTATGTATGTATGTATATAAATTCATGTATATATGTAAGTGATTTCAATGACAAAGAAACTGGCTATAGCTAACCTGTTGAACAAAGTAGAAGAAATCAAAATCTCGTGCAATGCATAAAACTAATAGACTCTGTATTACCAAGAGCTTGATCAACAATGAAGAGGTGGACACCATGTCTGTGTATGTATGTGTGTGAATTTCTTTCAAGTGATGATAATGCTGTGGGATTTAGAGCTGTATTTATAAGCAAAATTGTAACAATGTGGACAGAAAAACTAAATATGCAGCACAACAAAACAATGGTTTTAGTCAAGCTATTGCATCCTTCATGTGTGAAACGGAAGGGCATGATTGAGATGTGACGGCTGGCTGGCATTGTTCACCTAATTTAAATGATGGCGAAGATGAACAAGATATACATAATCATTAATATTGGCCTTACCATTAGGATTTGATGGCTAAAAACATACACACATTCATTCACACATAATTTGTCTTTCTCACCTGTTCTTTAGTGAAGAATCAAGACGTTCAAACCTAATTTAGAGCATGAAAAATAAAATAAAATAAAAAATTAAAAGTATGTGCACCTTGCACATCAAAGATGTCATGCCAACTAATTTTTTACTCTTTCATCAGCATAAAATAACAAGAAAAACTTCAAATAGGACTGATTGCCTCCAATATTACAAGAAACTTTTCATTGACTAAAGGAAAACTCTGTGTGTGTGTGTGTGAGAGAGAGAGAGAGAGAGTCCTCTACCATGCCAATGAAAGCTCCATGAACTATACTCTTTTATAGTACCTTATCTTTGTGACTAAAGAGCTCTTAAAAGATGCAATGTAATACATCTAAAAGTTAGGACGTGCATTATTCATGGTTTTGCTTTTATCCCCATGTCTTTGACAACCATGCCTTGTTTTTCTGTGTCAACTACATTCTCAAGGGCATGGACTGAATCATCCAAACTCCCACACTTGGCATACATTTCTATAATTGCAGTGACCACTTCCTTAAGTCCAATGCTCCTAACAAAGCACAAGAGGAAATAACAGAAAGCATTTTAACGTCAGTAGGCTTGAGATCACGCTCTTTTGCAGTTTGCAGAACAATGACAAGGCCTCGTACGGCTGACTACACCGAGCATAACCAGTTACTATCGTGTTATAAGTAACTACACAGGGTACCAATATCCGATCAAACACTAGAAGAGAGTACTGCATTCGGTATACATGCTTATGGCTCTGACCGTGTTTAATACTAGTAAGGCAATACAATTGCTTGCCTTCCTCTAAAGCTTCAGAGGGAGTGCACGCTTTGAGGAGAGACCGGAAGGTGTAATCATCAGGGACGAGGCTAAAACACTGAATTTGGCTAAAGAGTGCCATGGCCTGAAGTGGGGTACTAGTTCGGGCATGCCCAAGGGCCATGTAGTTGAAGAGTACAATATCTGGGTGGGGAATTTGATCGAACTGGTGGTGGGCATGGTCCATGAATGAGCTTTGTGGGGTTCAAAGTAGAGAAATTGATGCGCTTGATGAGGATGAACTCATTTTGGAGGTGGTGAGTTCTTCGAGGGAAGTGCATTTGGGGTGTCTGTGTTGAGTTTGGGGAAAGAGAGTGAGCTGATTGGTGAAGCTGGGATTGCCATTGTAGAGCTTTGAATGTGTCTCTGAGACAATCAGTTTTTTTTTTTTTTGCAACTGAGACAATCAGTTTACAGGTACATGAAGTGATTGTCGGTGGTGAGGTTTTTGAGTGAACTGATTGGTGTTTACAGGTAAAGTTGGTACAATCGATAATCGTTGAAAGTGGCAGGCCTAAGTCTTCTTGATCCGTAACCAGGCCCAGCCCATATATAGACTGGATCATGAAATGACCAACCCAGATCGAAGAATTTAGGTCTGATGTTGGGCTTGTCAGGCCTACAGGTTTCAGCCTCGATTAGAACTGCAAAAAATTTAAGTTTGGGTCCGATGTTAGGCTTGTCAGGCTTTCATTAATCGGATCAATCAGAATTCAAAGTCTAAGCCCACGGCCTAGAGGTTTCAGCCTCGATGCTGCTCTAGATTTGGCACGTTGTAAATTAGAAGTTCACCCATGAGTATTGAAGAAATGACATCGAAAATGGTTATTGAGTAATGATATGGTTGAAGATACCATTAATGACCTGGGCCCGGTTTGGTTCAAGATGCTCGGAACGGGTTAGGTAATTGCAATCAAAGCAAAGCCAATCGACACCGAGCAGGCCCAAAAAATGGAGGACAGTGAATGGACCTGAAGAAGAATGAAAGGAGTTGGTCTCAAAGTAAACGAGAGAGGACAAGGCCAGCCCATCACGAGGGAGTCAGTTAGAAAACATAAGGATAGCTTGTAATCGCCTATAAATAGATGGAAAATAGAGAGAAAAGGGGTTGGAAAATATTTTTGAAGTGTAAAGTTTCTCTCTCTAGAATTGAAGAAAATCCTTTGCATCTTCAATTGGCGCTGTCTGTGGGAATCGAGGAGGATTGATTCGTATTCAATCAAGATCGATTTGATTCAAATTGATTCGTGAAAAAGAAGCTTGATCTATGGAAGTTGAATCCTGGTCGGAGAGATTGTGATTCATTTAACAGGGCCTTGCTTCCAATGGAGTCTGAGAGCTTGGTGTCAGATTTACGCAGTTACAATTTGCTCGGTTAAGCTACATTTAGCAAGCCTACGGTGGAAGAGATCCAGATCCGGCCAGCTGAGATTGGAATTCAGCTGATCTAAGTCCAGATCTAGCACGATTCGCATTATCGAAGCTCAGATCTGATCCAAAATTGACAGTTAATGACTTTGCTTCGATCAGGAATGATTCTAGGTGGTGAGAGTTCGAATCCAGTGGAGAATGGACAACAGATGAAGCTTGATGAATTGATGAGCATGATTGAAGCTCTGAGAAAAGAAAATACAGAATTGAGAGTTGGAATGGAGCATCGAGAAGTTCCGGCTGCACCACGACCACCTCCGGTGGGCGAAAGAGGCGTGTAGTCTAATGAAGCACATCAAGGTGAGCAAGAAGGAGATAACCACGTGGGTCTTCACCGCGAGGAAGTCAAGCTGGAGAATTTACCACCAAATGCTCGTTAAGTTGAAGATCGAGAAGGATCTATACATCTAGATCCATATCGTGAGCAGATCAGGTGGGAAGAAGCTACAGCTTTCAATCCGTATCAGGAAAGGCACAATCGAGAATAGGCTATGGAGTTTGATTATCACAAGACTAACTCGCCGTTGCAGAAGGAGTTCACTGAGGAAAGGTCGTTCGATCCACCTTATCGGCCTTCAATGGCCACATACGATTATAGGAGTTCGGAAAGAAGACCTACAGATCAAAGAATCGTCACAAGGTTTCAAAGAGAAAATGAGGCCCTCCATTCGGCAACACGGACGGTTGATTCGCCATTTACTAATAAGATCCTGAATGCTCTGAGCCCGAGGAAGTTTTCCATGCCTATTTTCATTCTGTTCGATGGAACAACCGATCTGATTGATCATGTGTATCACATTCAGTTGAAGATGGTTTTGAACACGGAGAATGATCCCTTAATATGCAAGTGTTTTCCTACAAGCTTAGCTGGACCGGTGCTCAACTGGTTCAAGAACCTGCCGAAGGGCTCAGTGGATAGTTTTCGAAGTTTGTGTGACCGATTCAAAAGCCAGTACTATGGGAATAAGCGCCCGGCAAAAGATATCTCTAGTCTATTCGTTATGAAGCAGCATGAAGATAAGCGTCTCCAAGCCTTTCTTACCAGGTTCAACCTAACCAAGAACATGGTGATAGAGTGCCATCCTTTCACAGCAGTTCAAGCGTTCAAACTAGCAATGACTCGTGGAACACCGTTCCACACAAGCCTGATGGTGAACACACCACAGACCATGGACAAGCTGAATGAAAAAGCTAACGGTTTCGTGCGTTTAGAAGAAGAAGAAGCGGCTAATGCAAGGAAAACATCAATTATCTCAACAAAGGAGAAGTCCAAAGCCAAGATCCTGCAAATACACGCTCCACCACAGCGTCAAACCTCCTGGAAAGCACAGAAGAGGCCCAGAGAAGAAGAGCTGATCACTCCGTTGAAAGTCACTCTAGTGAAGCCGTACCAAGAAAACAAAGATAAGTTCCGACCTCCTTTACCAATCAGACAACCTCTTGAGCAGAGAAACCAGTCTAAACATTGTGCTTTCTATAGTGACTTTGGCCATCAGACTAACGAATGCAGGAACTTAAGGAGGCAAATAGAGATGTTGATCGCAAAGGAAGAATTTACAGGGTATGTTCAGGGACCAGCACAGGAACAGAACCGACCAGCAGAGCAAATTAAAAGAAATCAAAAGCCAAATTACAGCAACACTCATCCTGTTCGGATTATCAACGCAATTCATGGCTGACCAGAACAGTCAGAGGAGTCAGAAGAGCTCCTCAGAACATGCCTCCGCCAAGCACAGATGAAGAGGAGGAGTATAGGCAGTGTGAACGCTCTGCACTAGCCAGAACGCATCGGCACATATAAAGTTTAACAGAACAGACCTGTTACGCGTTCAGGTCCCTCATGAAGATCCACTGGTCGTCAGTCTGACAGTTGCAGAATGCCTGGTGCGAAGAATTCTGATTGATCTAGGAAGTAGTGCAAATGTCATGCCCAGAATAACGTTCGACTGGCTCGAGATCGAACCCAAAAAGCTCAAACCCATAGGAAATCCATTGTTAGGATTTGATAGGAAGCGGGTGAAGCCCATTGGTATGGTGGAATTGACAGTGCAAGCTGCTGAGAGAGTTCTGACTAAAAGTTTTGTGGCCGTAGAGATCCATCCATCTTACAACCTCTTGATGGGAAGAGGGTGGATCTACAGAGTTCAAAGTGTCCCATCAATTCTGCATCAAGTGATGCGATGCTTGAGTCCAGATAAGGTAATTGATATTCATGGGGACTAGGTTGCAGCCAAAGAATGTTATTCAGTGACTTTGAAATCTACTGGAAAGGGGAAAACTCCCATCCGTTCTGCAAGTCCAAGATAGCAATTACAGGAGCCTCCACCCAACAAGAATGGGGAAGAGGAGCCGTAGGTTCTAACCGAAGAACCTCTTCTTGACGTGCATATCGACTATAAGACTTGTTAAAGAGGAGAAACAAGGGTTGATTGATTTTTTGACTCAGAACGTAGATGTGTTCGCGTGGAGCCATTCAAACATGCCGGGAATTAGTCCTTCTGTGTCCTATCATTCCCTTAATGTAGATCCGAACGTAAAGCCAGTAAAGCAAAAGCAGAAAAGATTCGCTCCAGAACGCAATCAAATCATAGTTGAGGAGATTGATCATTTGCTCGATGCAGGATTCATTAGAGAGGTTCAATACCCGGTCTGGCTCTCCAATGTCGTTGTTGTGTAAAAAAAGAATGGGAAATGGAGAGTATGTATTGACTTCACCAATCTGAACAAAGCCTACCCAAATGATAGCTTCTCATTGCCAAAGATTGATCAAATGGTGGATGCCACTACTGGGTACAAGCGGTTAACCTTACTGGATGCTTATTCGGGTTACAATCAGATTCCCATGGACCCAATTGATGAAGAGAAAACTTCTTTTGTTACTGAACGCGGGACCTACTGCTACAGGGTCATGCTGTTCGGACTAAAAAATGATGGAGCTCTTTATCAGAGGCTAATCAGCAAGATTTTTAAAAGTCAAATGGGGAGAACTGTAGAGGCTTACATTGATGACATGGTAGTAAAGAGTAAGAAGAAGGATAACCACTTGGAGCACTTGTAGGATGTGTTTGGTGTGTTGAGGAGGTACGAAATGAAGCTTAATCTAACCAAATGCTCATTCAGCGTAAGCTCTAGCCAATTCTTGGGGCATGTGGTCAATCATAGAGGAATTGAGGCTAGCCCAGCCCAGCCCAGGCAGAAGCTCTGATTTGAAATGCAGAACCAAAGACGATTAAAAAAGTGCAAGCACTCACAAGTCGAATAGCCGCACTAAGCCGAATCATTTCTAAGCTTTCAGATCGTTGTAAACCATTTTTTTAACACAATACGAGGCCATGAAAGGCAAGCCTGGGGGGATGAACAATGATAGGCATTGACCAGCTTGAAAGAATACATGCGAAACCCTCCAGTCCTATCTGCTCCGGACCCAAATGAAAAGTTCTTTGTGTACCTTGAGGTATCCAACATCGCAACAAGTGCCATTCTGATCCATTGCAAAGAAGGAAAGCAGTTCCCAGTATTCTATGTCAGCAAAACAATGGCCGAGCCGGAAAGAAGGTACTCAAAGGCCGAAATCTTGTCATTGGTCAATGCGAAAAGGAAGCTCAGGCATTATTTCGAATCCAATCCAATTGTCGTCTTAACCACTTTTCCTATAAGGATGATCTTGCACAAGCCAGACCTGTTAGGAAGAATGACAAAATGGGCCATAGAGTTGAGCTCATTTGATAGTACATATGAACCCAGAACAGCAATCAAAGGTCAAGTAGTGGCTGATTTCCTGCTTGAATGTGATGTTGAAGACTTGGAGGAAGATCATGGATGTTCCTTACGGAAACTCTTCGTTGATGGCTCTTCAAATCAAATGGGGGCAGGAATTGGAATCAAATTGCAAACACCATAGGGCACCACGTTGAGCCAAGCGATCAGACTTGAGTTTAAAGCAACCAACAACGAGGCTGAATAAGAGGCATTGCTGGCTGGACTGAAGTTGGCTAAAGAGCTGAAGATCAAGAATCTAATTGCTTATAGTGATTCACAGCTGATCGTTCGGCAGGTAACTGGAGAATATGGAACCAAAGATAAGATTATGGAAGAATACTGAACACTGGCTATGGTCATCCAGTTGCCGAGGGAGTACAATGAAGATGCTGATCGCTTGGCTTGTAGTGCATCCAGCTCTAGAGAAACACTGGCTAGGGTCATCTCGGTTGATGTGTTGAACCAGCCGTCCATTTTTTATAAACTGCCCGGTCCGAGCGCTCAGCAAGTTAATGTTATACCACATGAGCCGAGCTGGATTGATCCGATTATGGCTTTCATATGCGATGGTGTGTTGCCTAAATAGAAAGATGAAGCAAGAAAAATCAGGTCCAATGCCGTGAAGTATGCTATTGTTCGTAATCAATTGTACAGACGGTCCTTTTCGGGTCCGTACTTAAAGTGTGTTACCCCAACGGAGGCTAGACAGATTATACGAACCATTCATGAAGGTGTATGCGGAAATCATTCGAGAGGAAGATCTTTGGCACACAAGGCAATGACACAAGGGTATTTTTGACCAAACATGGCACGAGATGTAGAAGAATTCTCTAGAAGATGCGATAAATGCCAAAGTTTCGGACCATTAATCCACTAACCACCTGAAGAATTGCACATAATGGCCACGCCATGGCCTTTCACGCAATGGGGGATGGATGTGGTTGGCCCTCTACCGACCACGAGATCGCAAAACAAGTACGTTCTGCTAGCAACAGACTACTTCACCAAATGGGTAGAGGCAGAGCCATACCCTAGTGTGACCCAAACTCAAGTAAGACGTTTCATCTGGAATAATATTATTTATCGCTTTGGCGTACCAAGGTCGATCGTTATGGATAATGGGACTAATCTCGATAGCAAGCAAGTGAAAAAACTGCTGGAAGAGTATGGAATTAATCAAAAGTTGGCAGCAGTCAGCCATCCCAAGGCTAATGGCGAAGTTGAGATCACAAATAGAACAATCTTTGCTTGCATAAAAAAGAAGCTAGAAAATGAAAAAGGAAAATGGTTGGACAAACTTCCGAACGTCTTGTGGGCTTACAGAACAACTCCGAGATGGCTGACCGGAGAAAGCCCTTTCGCTATGGCATATGGCACCGAGGCAGTAACACAGGTTGAACACTTAGTTCCAACTGTTCGAAGTTTGGCATGGGATCAAGAGCAAAATGATAGCATGTTGAGATTTAACATTGATCTGCTGGAGGAGAAAAGAGATGCAGCAGCAGTAAGGCTTGCATCTTATCAGCAAACACTCATGAATAGTCATAACAAAAAGGTGAAACATGGGAACTTTGCTCCTGGTGATCTGGTTCTGAAAAAGAGGTGGGGATCGTCAAAAAAGATGATGTCACCATGGGAAGGCCCTCACAGAGTGGCAGAAGCCATAGGAAAAGGGGCATATACACTGGAGACTATGGCTGGAAGATTGGTCAACAAACTATGGAACGCCACATCTCTAAAAAAGTACTGCCAATAGAAATATAAAATATAATTCTATAGTAGCGTTCATTCAGAGTTGTGTTCTTGCAAGTATGTAGATTTCTCAAAGATATATAAAAAGAGTTCCATTGATTTTAAAATTGAAATGAGCAAGAAATAAAGTTAGTGTCAAATGGCAAATGGCATTCTAGCCGAGCGCCAAGCACTTGCACAAAATAATGAGTGGCAGCTGGTACTACGAGCCGAACGCCAAACACTTGCACAAAATAATGCCAAGTGGCAAGTGGCATTCTAGCCGAGTGCCAGGCATTCAGTAAAGTAAGTGGCAGCTGGCACTACAAACCGAACGCCAAACACTTGTACAAAATAATGCTAAGTGGCAAGTGACATTCTAGTCGAGCGCCAGGCATTTAGCGAAATAAGTGACAGTTGGCACTATGAGCTGAACGCCAAACACTTGCACAAAATAATGCTAAGTGACAGGTGACATTCTAGCCGAGCGCCAGGCACTTAGCAAAGTAAGTGGCAGCTGGCACTACGAGCCGGATGCCAAACACTTGCACAAAATAATGCCAAGTGGCAAGTGACATTCTAGCCGAACGCTAGGCATTCAGCAAAGTAAGTGGCAGCTGGCACTACGAGCCGAACGCCAAACACTTACACAAAATAATGCCTAGTGGCAAGTAGCATTCTAACCGAGCGCCAGGCATTTAGCAAAGTAAGTGGCAGCTGGCAATACGAGCCGAACGCAAAACACTTGCACAAAATAATGCTAAGTGGCAAGTGGCTAGAGTGCCGAACACCAAACACTTGCACAAAATAATGCCAAGTTGCAAGTGGCATTCTAGCCGAACGCCAGGCACTTAGTAAAGTAAGTGGCAACTAGCACTACGAGCCGAACGTCAAACACTTATACAAAATAATGCCAAGTTGCAAGTGGAATTCTAGCCGAGTGCCAGGCATTCAGCAAAGTAAGTGGCAGCTGGCACTACGAGCCGAACACCAAACACTTGCACAAAATAATGCCAAGTGGCAAGTGGTATTCTAGCCAAGCGCCAGGCATTCAGCAAAGTAAGTGGCAGCTGGCACTACGATCCGAACGCCAAACACTTACACAAAATAATGCCAAGTGGCAAGTGGCATTCTAGCCGAGCACCAGGCACTTAACAAAGTAAGTGGCAGCTGGCAATACGAGCCGAACGCCAAACACTTACACAAAATAATGCCAAGTGGCAAGTGGCATTCTAGCCGAGCGTCAGGCATTCAGCAAAGTAAGTGGCAGCTGGCGCTACGAGCTGAACGCCAAACACTTGCACAAAATAATATTAAGTGGCAAGTGGCATTCTAGTCGAGCGTCAGGCACTCAACAAAGTAAGTGGCAGCTGGCACTACGAGCCGAACGCCAAACACTTACATAAAATAATCTCAAGTGTAATACCCCTAGTTTTAAAAGGGATATAATTGGAATTTTACTATTTATTTTATTATTTTCATTATTTCTTTTATTATTTTTAGGTGCTTACGTGGCTACGTATTTGATGGTTTCCTTGAATTACGTGTTGTGTAAATTAATTTTTTTGTTTAACTGGCATTGTCTATTTACTTGATATTATAAAATAGGTGACTTGAAAAAATGGTTAAATGAATTGTTTAAATTAAGGTGTTTAATTTATTAAGGATGGGATTGGATGGTATGGAGTAGATGGGTACGGTTAATACCCATGGATGTGTATACAGGTATATAAAGGTATATATGTATATATGGATTAATAATAATTATTTACGATTGAATTATATTTTATTCATTATATTGGGTGTAATATAATTCTAGGGTTTTGGATATGCTCACGGGATAGCCGACCTAGTATAACTTTATTTTATTTTTCTTTTCCATCTCCCGTAAGAATTAAAATTAGGTTTTCTTAAGCCTATATAAATGTTACATTATGTCGGCTTAGGGTTTAGAAGCAACAAACCTTTTTCCATAAACAGTGAAGTTTGAGAGAAAACAGAGAGAGGTTGTGAAGAAAACAGAGCAACCTTGGTGAAGGTTTCGGCTGTGGATTAGGGGTCGGACCTAGGGGAAAGAAAGACTGAGCAGTGGGAGGTGGGGTTGACAGTAGTCGAACGTCGTCGGAAAGCTTAGGAAGACTACGACATGGTTTTGTTCCAAAACTATAAAGGCAAGTTCTATTCTGTCTCTCTCCTTTTGGACTTTGTTCTTTGCATTTTTAGATGTTCTCTAGGATCTTAAACGGATATTAAATGGATCATGCACACTTAGTATAGATTTAATTAATTATCTGTATTTGTTGAAATTAAACTGAAATCGTTCTTGCAAGTTTGGTTTCACTTTTAAATCTTTTAGCATGTTGAAACGGTAATTGTTTTGATTGTTCTGTTAATACAAATTATTGTAATCAAAGGACTGGATTGATAATTGGATATTAATGGAATATTACATGCTTAACAAATGATTAATTACTCGTCTGTATGTATTTAGCTTAAACTGTAATGATTTCTGAAAGTTGAATTATGTTGTCTGTTGTTAAAACGTAATTAAATCGGCAATGGTTTTAT